ATTATCTTAGCATTTAACGGTTCTAATCGATTAAAAGAGATTTCATATAAACACTGGTGAATAGTAGACAAGATCTCCACTTTCTGGGTGTTCGGTAGGGTCTTTAAGATTGCTATTCTTTGGAGCTGGAATCTGGATGCTAAATATGGCGTCCTAACAAAAACGGGTTATGCTGTTTCTTTGTACAGCACACTTGCCTTGTGATATACCTTTGACAACCTTACTTTGCTCTCCCGCTGGAAGTAGGAAAGCATCCACAGATAAGTGAAGCATCATATTATGGAATGAGTCAGTAGTGTCCATTAAACATAACTCAAGGAAGCAAAACCATGTTTTTTGCAGTTCTATTTTGTTGTTGAGTATCTAATTTTTTTTTAGGTTAAACATTCAGGGGACAGTTTTACCCCTTTTTATCATGGAATGGGCATTTTGCTGTATAGCCTGATCTGTTTTTGGTTAATTGTTGGATCTAGGAAGCATAAAACAAATTATGCTCTTGTCTTGGAAATCCCTAAATTTTGAAATTCCAAGCTCATGTTTATGTAAATACTGTATTTCATTACTTAGCATCTTTGATAATGCGATGAATTCGGCAATTATTTTTCCTTTCAGAATCAAATTTTTTTTACATAGAAAAGGTTGTTTTTTATTGTAATGCAGAATGAAGCTGTCTTGAGGGCTTGTGCTGAACCACAACAAGAAACTGCAGCAAGTACTGCTGCAGTTGGAAATAAATAGACTCGAGATCAGATGTAGTGCCATTGATAATTCTTTCTTTTCTGCTTTGGAAATCGTTGCAACCGACGGATTTTGTTGTGTATTTTTGCTTAAAACAAGCATTTGAAATGGTACTGTTAGATAAGAATTTATTCTCTTTATCTATTCTCTTTTGTCTCTAGAAAATTTGCATCTCAGATTTGATATTAATTTTCTTCTCTACTTCACTTGCTTATCCCTCTTGCAACATGAAGAATCGTGTATTTTCTGTCATGATCTACATATAGGTTTCCTCATTTTGATTGCTGTTTACATCTTTCATGGTTTCTCAAATGAAGTCGAAAGCTATTGATTCAGAATTATCACAATACCTTTGTGAGTATAGGAGTGCAATTATATGCAAACAGTACTCATTACATGTGCTTAGAATGTTGTCTTTCTTATCATGCCACAGGTTAATTATTATTTGAACACAATGACCTTTTTTCCTTGTTTCCATATCCTTTGGTCCACTTATTTAAACAGTGGTGAATTTGTCAGAATCATGCAATTCTGTGTCAGAAGGTAAAAGTATTTCAAGAAGATTAACTTATCATGTCTGACTGTCTCTCGTCTGTATGTTGAGATAGAGGTGAACCAGAGAAATGCTGCATTGTGTCAAGTGGGTGTGAACTTGTATTTTTGTGTCATTTTGAAGATGTTTAGGTATGCATTTTAATTCATCAGTATCCGCTCGACCTAAGCGGAAGTAGTGGGAGGTTGAATTATCCCCAACTACAGCAGTCCAATCCAAGGTGGGATTGATGGCAGGGTATCATGATGTGGTTCTAGGACTGACTGGTATTTACTGTTGCATCCATGACCTAGAATTGGATTATAACATTCTTATCATTTTTTTGATGATAACAGATTATTTGAATTGGTATATCGTTCAGTCCAACCAAAACCAGTGTCAGATTGTGATTTAAGTCTTTGTGGTGTTTGTATTCATATGTCGAGTGACTTCACAGATCCAACCGGCCCACAGGCCCCACTGTCCGTCAGAGTATTGTGACCACCAGTCCATTCTATTCCGTCCAAGCTCTTCTAGATTTTAAATTCATGTGTGATGTTTGTGTTTCTTGTTCGGCTCAAATTCCCTATGGTTGGTCAAAGTGCACTGCAGCCTAAACAAATCACGTGTTCCATCATGCCTGCAGCCTTATGTGATGGATTGACTAAGAAGAACCAAGTCAGCAATCCAGTGCTACACTCAAGTTGGGTACATGAATTCCTGCTGGATCATGACATCACGATCTTGGAGAAACACGCATGCTGCCTTGGACCGCAGCTCGAGAACCGAAGATGAACTGAATCGGTGATAGGTTTGACTTCCGGTGTTTAGGTGTTTGGTTCTTATGATGCTTAATTCGTTCTTCCAAATTGTTATTTTTTGATTCCGTATGTATATGCCCCTATATTACTAGCCGCAATCTGGACAGAGCTTTCATTGAATGGAACGTGGACGAAGGCCTGTAGGTTGCTGTCTTGGATGGATACCCAAAGCTCAAGACGGATGTTGATTCCAAATCCAAGCTCACAAGAAACATCGGTCGGCTGTACTTTTTGGGGCTGTCGTTGCAAGAACAAATGCGGATGACCATACAATACACATGTCAATCTACTTTGCTGGTCCTTCATATCCCTACATTTCTGTTTTGTTTCACTAAGATGTGACCTATTTGATTACTTGGTTTCCGTCTCGTTCTCATCTATGTTGGAGCATAAGATTATGACCTCGCATTAACTTTATAACGCCGCCCAGAAGTTTAATAAGCCTGAGACATGACGTTGTTGCATGTAAGTGCCAAATTAGGTGGTGCATCAGCAAAATAGCATATCCAAGTCTATGTCATGTTCTACAGACTTTGTTTTTAATATGTCATATCTACGCCATAAGCTTAGAGCGTAGAACTCGTCACGCTTACGAAGTACCCCTTCTTTTCTCTTGAGCATTCGTGGTTGAGAGGACTAAAACGATTGCTAACCACATACAATTAAGATACTATTGCCACCGGAATTAAGTTGCCATAGATGCAAGGAGAGCATGATGGTGAGTGTTGCTGCACGAGTTTATGACCTCGACAGTGGTGGAAGGAAGGAGAAGTTTGTGATTCAGAATCATCGAGGTACAAGTCTTTAAATCTGATCCAAATGAGTGTCCATTTCCTGTGTCGTCGCAATCCTCAGCGTCTTGATCATGGACTACTACTTCGATCAACAAAGATGACTTGGGGGAAGAAAAAGTGCAGCTTTTGTGGTCCATGGAAGAGCTGGAGGATAAGGTGGTGTCGCCTAATTGATTGATCCACTGATGGCGTTGAACTCGAATCCATCTCCAGAGCTGCAGCTTGGAGAATGAATCATCATCTCCTACTCGGGAGTTCATGTTGTGTTTAGCGGATATCTGAACTCAAAGAGTTGCAGGCAAACACACAACGGATGATCACTGTTTCAGTAGTACAAAGGATTACTTGCAAGAGATGAAGAGATTACACGTATCTCCTAGAATTTACAGCTCGAACTTTATTCTGCGTCTGGTTTCCAGGAAGAAGACAACTAGAGGACGGACAGTGTGAGCATGTGATGTTACAGTAACTTGTTCTCATGGAGGTGAACTCATGCTGCTTGAACTCGCTTCCTCTCCATCACTAGATACATCAGGGAGCTCAGTGACGCAGCTGGAGCCATCATCTCCCATCCTCATCATCTGCTCTCCTGCCTGTTCATCATCTTCTTCGGCCTCCATCTTGGCGGCTCTCTTCTTCCTAAAGATGCGACACAACACCCAATCTCCGTTTGGAACCATGCTACTCTGCATCAATAAATTCCAATTCAGTTCAGTAACTCATCATCAAGAGCTACTAAGGTACGAGTAAGAGCTCACATGAGTTGCATCATTTCTTGGATTGGCATCGGGCCGGGCGAGGCGATACTCATGCATGATCCAATCGGTTCTCGTCGGCGGCTTTCCTCGATAGAAGACCAAAACCTTCTTCATCCCCACCACCTGGTTGCACCCGGAAGCCACCACTTGCCTCTCCTTCCCTGCTACTTTCCAGCATCCGGATCTTGCCCTCGGATTCGATCGGTTTCGGTTCAGATATGTTGCCTCTCTGAAGCTGAACAAGTACCGGACCTCTTCGCGCCCACCTGTGACATCGCAGCCATGATATATAGTTTCGATCACGTTAGAAGTTCTAACAACAAAAATTCTCTCATGGAAGAGGCACTGACCGGGTAGATCCCATGGGTCATGGTTCCTGAGATCGATCTCGGGGATGATGGAGGCCGGCAAGGGGAAGGAGTAGACCTTCCTCTTGAGGTACTGAACCACAAGCTCTTCATCAGTGGGATGGAACCTGAATCCCGGTGGAAGCCTCAGCATACCATGCCTTACAAAACCGGTATTGTCCATGGAGACCTGAAACAAAAACCAAGTCTTCTCCTTGGTCTCGATATCACATCCCCGGGTCCAACTCTATGGCAACAGAAGACTTCATGGAGATGATCAGTTAGGCGAGCCAAAGAGTGTGTCTCAAAGGAGAGGGAGAGGGCGTGTTTCCAAGGAGAGGGAGGGTGCGGATCTTTTAAAGGCTGCCCGCAGAAGAAGACGACGACCACGGTAACGTGATCCGGACTCAAAGGTTTGACGATATCCACCAAAGTGATTGGTATTTGGGACAATTCGTATTTGAAAACGTCAAGGGAGCATGAAGAAACAACACCTAGCCAGGAGTCAGATTGGGACAACATGCAAAGGCCACTAAACCACTGAAAGCTTGCGCATGCAGACTCTTTTCATCTTCGATTTGATAGCAATCATCTTCTACTGCTCCATCCAGGAGAAGCTTGAGATTGGGATGTCAGACTCTCTATATCTATCTGCTCCGTGATCCATGCTCATGTAGAGATAGGCAACACATGCAACATATATTGGTGGGACTCTTAGGATATATATGTGTGTATATACATATGTATATATGTACATAGATATATATTTATAAATATATATATAAATATATATAAAAGAGTTATGTTCTTGGCAAAAAAGAATAGAAAAGGTTGGCACCGCCTTCGACCGTCCTTTCACTTTTAGCTACCCATCACCTATCCGTCATGTGATTGGCGGCGTCGGGCGGCCACGCGTGACCCAGATGTGGGCCCACGGCAGCAACCGGGAGGAGAGGAATGACTCGTTGTTACATACATGCATTGTGTTGTCATTAGTATATATATTTATTTCTTGTTGGTTTGATTAATCTGACGATTCCTTGTCTTTAATTTCCGTTTTCCTCATATTATCTATCTTCTTGCGATCGAACGCTGCCCTTCTTGAACCCTAACCCTCCACCTGTGGATCTCTAATCTCAAGATCCCCCTCATTGATCCCGCTCCCGCGTTCCTGGGATCTCCTCCTCGGTTGCTTTCGCTTCTGGATCCCGACGTCCCCGCTAGCTTGCGCTGCGAAAGGTGTGGTTCTTGCCCCCTCTCCTTGATTTCGATTTTGTGATGGTACCTATTCGCTTCTCCGGTGGATGAATCGTTAGTTCGTATCTTGACTGATCTTTACATTTTGGGTGATCGGTGACTAGATCGGAGAGAGCAAATGCCAGACGAGGATCTGATCGAGCTCAAGTTTCGGCTGTATGATGGAACGGACATCGGCCCGATCCGCTACTCTGCTTCTTCCACCGTCGCCATGCTCAAGGAAAGGATAATATCCGAGTGGCCGCGAGGTAGGAATTCACGTTTCTTTTAGTCTTTGGTTCTCGAATCAGCAAGTCTTTTTTTCCCGTGAAAGTGAACTTGTCGTTTCTTGATTTTGGTATACGATTCCTAGATCTTTCAACAAGTCAAAATATGTTTACGGTGAATCCTATTTTTTATTCTTTTCGCAGCGATGCCGACTTAAAAGTTCAAACGAAATATCAGAATATATTTACATTTAAGTTTAATGTCGATCCGCGTCCTATATGAACAAAATTATTACGACACTTAGTTTGCTAGGTTGCTGTCAAGTTTTGTTGGCGACGTTATGTGATGCCAATTTGTTGCTAACCGCCAGATACAATAATCCACATTTATGTCATTGCATATCAACCGTGAATAATGATCTCAACTTTATGTATTTTCAAAATTTTACGGTGATTAACCGAATACTTAACCGGATAACGTCAACGCTCTGCCACGATAATTCAAGTTGTGAAGGTCAAATCTCAAGGGCCACGTCTCAGTGTCAATCTTTTCTCTAGTTATCTTTTCTGTGGTTCTGTATTGTCCGGTTTGAAGCAGCTGCTTCACTCACTTCTAGTACTAAACATTGAGCTCACTGAAAAATAGGATATATTTCAGATTTTTTATTTAGTTCATAATATTCGTTTCTTTCAATATGTGTATATTCTGCAATACTTGTCAAAAGTTTTGCTGAAACAATCATGTGGTATGCATTACAATCTGTGCCTGATCTATGGTATTTGTGTTTGTTATAGTGTCTGAATAATCTGCCGTTCTATTGCGACATCACATTGTTGTGTTATTGATAAGTCTCACGTTCAACTAAGTGTCTTGTATGCTGTTTAATATAATGAATGAAAAGTATCATTATTTAAGTAAAAACATGTATTCTGCCATTTGTTTGTGCAACATCATATCCTTTTCAGGAGTACACATGTTCACCTTGTTCATTTTTTTATGCATCTTCTTATTGTGGCAAAGTGCAATTCTCAGAGAAAAATTCTCACATTGCCCTGCTAATGTTGTTCCAATTTGCTCGTACTTCAAATTGGTGGCTTTTTGTACTTTTGTTTATATGATATCTGTGGCAAGACTTTAATGAATATTTATGGTTTGAGATTTATTTTTTTTAAAATTTAATGTCAATTTTATTAGGGTGGTGACATATAAGTAGCTGATGGTCATGCCAAAAGGGTAGAATTGTAAGTGGAGAACAATTTGTGTTGTGCTTGTGATGGATACTATATTGAAAAATGGGGTAAATGCGTCTGATCTAAATGGGCCAGAAGTGCTATGACAAAGAAGCAAAAACAACACTGCAAGCTAAGAAATGTATAACATGTTCTTGAAATTAAAATCTCATTCTTATACTGCTCATGATGTACTCAAACTTTTAGGAAGATGCATAAAATATGAGATGGTTTTTACCAGAATGCCTCTTGAGAGTTTTATGTAATACTAGTTTGTCTAGTTTGGAGCACTTTGCAAATGATGATATAATCTATAAAACAAGATTTGTACTAGTGCATAATATAAGTTTATCTTTTAGTTTTTACTAAGCTGTCTCTAGTCAGTTCCCAAGTAACGAGGGAAAAGAATAAATTCCATAGTTTAGTTGGAATTTGAAGTTATGGTCAGAATCAGGTTATAGATATAATTTGCCTGTTCCATTTACACTACCATGTAAGGTCTCCTTGAAGGCTAAGTTATACTTGGAAGCTTGGATATGTAGATCAAGTATCTTGATTGTAGAGTTATAATTAGAATCAGGTATAAGTTACAGTTCGTGTTCTATTTATCACTATCATATAATGAGTCTTGCAAGGCTGGGTGATACTTAGAAGCTTGGATTTATTGATTTAGTGCCCTGTTTCTTTTTCCGCTTCTGATTCTCATGATCATTGGTGACAGTGCCTTTCCATTTTTGGTGTTTCCTTGTAGAGATAAAAGGAAGGTCATTGGGTGACACTTGTATTTATTCATTATGTTCAGAGAAATGACATGAAAGGGCTTACACAATATTTCAATTGTAGGAATAGCAGTTGGTTGATTCGGTTGACACTGTATGGATGAGATATTTATCGTTGCATTTTATCATATGTCCTGTCAAACCTATAATTCTACCAATCACATTGGGTTTCAAAAGAACCTTTTGTTGGCAGTGGGCTTTTCTAGCCAGGCTGGTGAGATCTTTTAAGTATCTTTTATGATTCATTCAATCTGTTATCAGTATTGTGTTTTTCCAGTCAGGTTGATCTTATCTTTTTGGGATATTCTGTGAATATATTTCCTTTTTGGTGCCTAATTGTAGGCTTTAAAGTTTGTGCCATTAATCTGATAACAGGGACAACTTTTTTCAGTTGGTTATTCGAGTTTAGTTTACTTACTGTGTTTAAATCTGTTCTTTTCAATGGCATGTATCTGTATCTCGAAAGGAGAACCTTTGGGTGTTATCTATGTCAAATTGGCTAATGGACTCGTAGCTTGATTTTTTGGATATGCAAAAAGAGAAAATCCTACTTATACAGTTAGACTAGTAACGTTGATATTGTTATATTTTCTGAAGAGAATTGTCTAACTCCATTTCTCTCACAACTCTCCTCGAAAAGACCTTTATTTGGAACCAAAGTAGCAAATCTTGCTTTAAGACATGGAATATCGAATGGGTCTCTTCGGAGACATCCGATAAAATAGGAACGATACAGAGAATATCGAATGGCAATTTTGGCCATATAAATGTGTATTACAGTAGCACTAGTTGCGTTTGACTATAAGCTGCTTAAGGTTCATCTAAAGTTTGGTGATTTCATTACATATGGTTATTAGGATTTTTTTTCCTATAAATTTATTATTGTAGCATTTAAATGATTACATATACTCATCATGTTGCTTTCACTTTTATGTTTTGGTCCGTTCTCTGTCTTTGTGATATTATCCTGTGATTGTCTAAATTTTTTGCTGATTTAATTTAGCTTTATATTGCTAATTTCATTCTGTCCTTGCATTCTCTGCAGACAAGAAGATTATACCAAAGGTGGCTAATGATGTCAAATTGATAAGTGCTGGCAAAGTATTAGAGAACAACACAACAATTGCCCAGTGCAGATCACCTTTTGGTGAACTTCCTTCAGGGGTTGTCACCATGCATGTTGTTGTGCAACCGTCGTTGACTAAAACTAAAACAGGTAAGCTGGATCTTGCTACTTCTTGAATGCTATGAATTGTGATATCTTTTCTTGGTGTCACTGAAGTACAGTTACATGTATGTCCAATTCCATGTCTTTTGATGCATTAATTAAGTAGCTTTTTATAGTAGAAGCAGGTTGGTATTATTGTTAAGAATGATTTAAATTGTCACTAGTTGGAGAACCTCATCAGAACTTATTTATAAAGCTCTTGCAAAGGCTTATAAGTAACAAAATCTTGCATCGACACCTTTAATCAATTTGTTAAGGTAGGTCAATTGTGTGGTCTTTTCACTAACTAGATGATAGTTGAATACTCATGATATGATGCATCTATAAATAGTGCAATCTATTTCTAGTTTAATATCAGGAAGTATACAAAAGCATTTTAGACCTCACTGTACCAATCGAATTTGCTAATAAGTGTGCAACTGACTTGAGCTGAAACTAAGGAATGATCTGCTGTTGGATGGTAGATGCTTTTTTTTCTTGGGGAAAACAAAGTATTGCTGGAAGGATTCCTTTTTTTTTTTCCTTGCAATCAATTATATATGTAAATACTGATATCTTTTTTGTTAAATATGCTTCTATTAATAAACTTAAGATCAGACAGTACCATGCCATGGAATAAGATTCTTCAAATAAGTATTGACTTGAATGCTAATCAGCTGACTAAGTGCTTTTCCAAAAGGCTTTTAGGTGAGGGGCTTTCTTTTAGTAACCTGAAAGTTGAATATCAAAGAAATAATGAGCTGATAGATACCATCCAGATTAGTGACTGATCATGATTGTAATATTCGATAGAATCCACCTAGATCCTAAGATCAGCATGTAACTGTAACACGAGCAATGACTAGTCATAGAATAAGAATATGACAGCATAAAACGTGACAAATTGTTGTTCAAAATGACATTAGTGCCTCTTTATCTGACCTTAAGATAGAAAATGCTATTCTCCTGGAAAATATGCCTGCTGTGTTCGGCATTTGTTTGGTTGCCAGAGTTGCTTGTGTGATAAATCCTTTAGTTGATGAGACATGTAGCAATCTCTCTTGCCCATTTATTTCCTACAGAAGATTTCTAATAACTAGTGTCTGCCTTCTCACTACCGATCTTCATTTCTTTTCTGCAAATTTAAACTGCTTGCTTTTGATTTCTTTTTTCTACAATAAACAACAGAAAAGAAGGTGGACAAGTTGCCGAAGAAGAGTGCCTGTTCTTGCTCTATATTGTAGAGCAAGGATGTATCGGTAATGTTTGGTTGGCAGCAATAGAGTATCATCTGTGAAACCCCTGGTGGTAAGCAGAAACCACTTGGGGCAGATGTTTTCTTTTCTTAGGGGCCAAAGTTGTCTTTTCTTGTGTATTCTGTTGCGCAGATCGAGTTGGTGGACGGCTTGACTATTTGTCTTAAAGCAGGTAAGTCTGAGCAGAGTATTATTACATGTGGAGTAGATTGTTCCTCGATATATATATATATATATATATATATATATAATCGCACTTCTTGAACGTATGTATATCGATTGCATCAACTGGAATTTAATTCAATAGTCCCGATGGTTTCTCTCTCGTCTACCTGTCTCGATCTTGTTTCCCGCACACAGCGTGTTGATTTCTTGGTAGATATCAATGGTCTCGATGCCTGTAAATTGAGGATTTGGCATGCTCATGAAATAGTATCTGTCAGAAAAAGTGACGATCCTGGTTTTCCTACCAGCAATAAGAAATTTTTATGGTTCAGCTCAAATCAGAATCTCATCAATCATGGTAGAAAATAAAATTAGATAGATATTGCCTCTCTGGAATCATTTTAGCATGATCAATATAGCACATGGTAGAAACGATTCAATGCATACTACGTCCACATCCCGAAAATATCATAGGAAAAATGCTAGGATATGTAAACCATATCATGAAATAGAATAAGAATAATAATTCGCCATCTTATTATAGTTTTTCCCACAATAGCACATCTGACACAATGATGAAACAATTATGAATGCATAAACGTATAGCTACTACGGAAACAGACATCCATGAACGTCGAAGACCCGTCCTCCATGACTTCCTATATCTCCATCAGCTCTTGGAACCTCGCCATTGCTGAGTTTGGGAGCCCCAGGAGCACATTGATGCTCTTCCTCTCCTTCCCATGCGACAGGAACAGGATGACCTCCTTCTGAGGGAGAGTCACCGGCCCGGACTGAACCGGCTCCCCCCACCCGAAGTCCGTGGTGTGGAAGGACAGTCTTGACCATGTCGTGATCAGTAGAGTAGCAGTCAGAGAAGGCCTCGCCCTCGTCGCCTCGAAGTAGTCCATGGCGGATCTCATGTACTCGTCGGTGACCATCTTGACTGCGTCCTGGACCAGTCCGACGGCGAAGGAGAGCGGGCGAGCCAGAAGCTCTCCCGCGGTGCACAGGGAATTGGTGAGTACGATGCCGTTGCCGAAGTACCCCTCCGGCAGCGGAGGGTCGAATCGCGACCGCCCGTCGACCGCGAACAAGAGCTTGGTCTGCTGGCCGGGCTGCAGCAGCAGCGCCTCCGTCCGGGCTCGCCAGACCAGTCCGGAGAGCGCCTCGAAAGTGGTGCACTTGTCCAGGGCCCCGTCGTCCATGGCACTCCTCTTGACGCGCCCGAGCTTCTCGGGGTCGAAGCAGAAGGATCTGTACAGCATCTCTTCCTGGTACACGGTCACGACGTCAGAGACGTCTTCGATCTCAGCGAACTCGTGGTGGGGGAAACTGATGACGGGGGGTTCTCGTGGCTTGAGGATGGTGCGGTCGATGAAGGGCGGCACCGACACCGGCTGCCCTCGCGCCGTTTCGCCCCACGAGTTGACGAACTCCATTGCTCCGAGGCCGTCGAACATGCAATGGTTCATGGCCAACCCAAGGATGAATCCCCCGCATCTAAACCTTGTGACCTGGAAGAAGAACGCTAAGAACTCGGATCAATCTCTACCCGAAAGAACAGCCACAGATCAAGGTGATCGAAGTGAGGAGTACCTGAGCCGCCAGTGGAGGTATCTCCAGTATGTTCTTGGCACCAGGAACGTTGTAAACGAGCTTCCCAAGTGTGTTGGGGTCGGGCTTGGCGATGTCACCGATGTCCGCCATCTCACAGTCTGCTTCGGCCTCGACGAACACCGCACCTTCTCCGGTGCAATCCACGATGAGCTTCCCCTCGTTGCTGATCGTAAGCCGGCCGGCGAGCGGGTAGTAATGAACGAGGACCTTCGCCAAAGCCTCCTTTATCACCTCCCCAGCCTTCTCATTCCCCTTCTCCTCCGACCTGAAGCAGTATATGGTCTGCACTATGACTGCAATGTTCTGGTCGAGGTTGGTGAGGAAGTAGAGGCCCTTCTGCGTCTCTTCCGCTGGGGGAACAAGCGTTACTTCCCCTTGCCTCACGCTGAGTTCAAACATCTCCCTGGTCTCTGCAACCTGAACACCACATGCACCAATAAAAAGTGTTCAGGGTTAAGTGCCGCTGAGCTGAACAGAGGAAGTGAGTTGAGATAGACTCTACCATCTTTGACAGCTGAGGAATCTGATGAGCAGCCTGAGCAACCAGAGATGATGGAGGTGATGGTTCTTGCGTGCCAACGGATCGTGCTATTTATAGAGAGATTGAAAGAAGAACTCAATGATCCTGCATCTTCTCTAACAGAATAGATTTAACTAATAGAGTGAGAACATGGACCTGAGCTGGTTGGTGGGGTTGAAGGATCGTACACCAACCATGTTTGAGAGCTCAAAATCTTCTTCATGTTTCAGTTTCACTTGGTTGGGGTTGGCTACTGGCATGGAACCAACCACAGCCAATTAAAATCTCCTTGTTGATGAATAGTAGGTAGGGTTGGCCTCCTAATCCCCAGGACTCCATATCACTTTGTCCAAGAAGCAAAGTTACATCAGGAATGATGGTTACTGCTGATTAAATATGATGCTGGTGATTAATGATGGGATGCTGCAGCCTGGGATTTGTAGTATGTTGGTTTCACAGAATAAGGTTTCATTGATTGAACAGGAGTCACTGTGCTCAGAATTAGGAGGTGTGCTTGAGGCATGTCAGGTTGCTGTTTGCCTGCCATAGAGTTCTTATGCTTTGGCTAAAGATTGTGAAGATTCTGACATCCAACCAATCTTTAGTAGGCAGGCTACCTCATCTACTCCATATAGACAGACTGGATGTGATGGAGGGAAGCAGCGTCTCCATAATATGGGTCCAAACCATCATTGTCTCTTCATCTCATGTCTCTGTTGAACATTAGCACCCAGTAGCATTGTCCATTACCATCACCCTGTTCTGTTTGAGGTAAGCTTTGTGCCTGTATGCAGCACTTGTGCTATGGACACCATTCATCTGTTGTTGTGACTGCAGGAGAAGAAAACATTGATGATTTGAATAGTTCCAGAAAATTATACTTCACATTTACTGGTGCTTTCATGCTGGGGAAAAACATGTCCTGATAGTTTCATGGAGCTGTTTTGGGGCTATACCTGTGTCCTCTTCTTTCTCAGCTCTTCTTCATGGCTTGCTCTAGATATATGGTCTACCAATTGGAAGTCCATCTCTGAATCTTTTGCTAGTTAAGATTATTGGAGTCTTTATTAAGCTTGCATCATATCAAGCTGGTATGGAGAGCAAAATTTTCCTGAGGATATGTACTTCAAAAAAAGGAAAAGACTGAAGTACCTGCTGCTGTTGAAGAGTTTAGGGAAAATACTAGTAGAGTTTCAATAAAAAAAAATCTAATTAAAATGGATGCATATTGGTCTTTCACAGTATTGAGGGAAGACCAAAAGGCTAAACCTTCTGCAGAAGCTTGCTGATCTAATGACAGCACCTCCAACAGATCATTGGAAAAGAGTTGTTTTCCTGTAAATAAAATGTTGATTAGCTTATGAAGTTCATCATGTTAATATACAGACAAAGTGTTAATTATCAAGTTGCAGATACAATCTCAGCAATCTTTACCAATAGAGTACAGCTCCAGGAATCAAGGATCCCCTGCTATTGTCATATCTTCAGATCCTACATAGTTCTTTTAAGAATCAAATAGTGCCAATCTACAACTGCATAATCACACAAGTTTAGGGTTACCACTATATCCCTTTACCAATTTCAGTTGAATTCTAATCTTAAATTCATCTCCAAATCTTTATCTTCAATACACAAGCAAACTTTCCAGCATCACACACACACACACACACAAATATATATATATATATATATATATATATATATATATATATATATATATATATATATATATATACACACACATATATACATATACACACACACACACATACATACATATATATATATATATATATATATCAAAGAACAAACCAACAATGCTAACCAGTAGTGAAGAGAAGACTGCAATGACACAGACCTGAAAAACTTCTTCCTTATGCTGCACTGACACTCCCATAAAGCACAACATACTACATTTCTGTGAGAGTACACAGTATCAAAAACAAGCTTAGGCCGGTCATTGACCTCAAAAAAATCACATTTAGCCTCTATCTAAACAATACTTCACTGGAATCATTGTGAAGGAAGGCACAATAATATCTGTACTTGTGATGGGACAGATATTATCGTGACTAGAAAGAATGTATGTTTGCGCTCAATCATATTCTTCCCGTGAGGACTGTGTTGACTGCAGGGGGAGAGAAAGGCGTGAGAAGGAAAAAGACATGATTAGTTGAGGAAAAGAAAAAGAAAGAAAGTGAGCATGTAAAGGTGGAAGAAAAAAAAGGATGCGAGCTACTTGTCCATCTAAAATTGGATATCATTATAATGTGATGTAATTCCTATAAGAGAACAAATATAATATTTTGTTGGTGTGTTTCTTAGGTGAAAGTTAGTGTAAAATATATGCTAATCCTTGTAAGTTAAAACAAGAGGTGAATCCTCACTTGTTTCTTTCTGAAGTCTCAGTGTTGGCTACAATAAACCTAGTACACTTGGAGCTAAGATTTGATTTTGCACTCACAACCCTTAAAGTTAGGGATGGAAGTCAATGGCTACATGTCAATGTCAGCTATCAATGTGATTGCAGCACAAGTGGAGTAGAGCATTTGGGGAGAAAGGGACCTTCCTCCAAGCGTTCCCTGTGAGAGAAAGGAAGCTTCATGTATGGGGACTAAGGAGACAACACATAATGGGGTACAGTTTAATATGGAGTCTGTGACCACTTTTTGGTGTAGATTCTGGGGGAATTGACATGCATACAGGCTTAGCCAAAAAGCTAAACTTAAATTTATGAAGTGGGAGCTCCACATTGTTGTTGATGAAGCATATACCATGTGGAAGTGTGTCGCATGGTGGGGGGAATATTTCCTAAGTGCTTGGCAAGATTAGTGCTGTTTAGGTGAGCACCTGTGCTTCTTTTAAGCCTCGTGACATATAATGGCATTGTTAAGAAGATTAGTTTGTCCCACTGTGCAAGAGATAAGTGGTGGGAGGTGATTGATGGTTGTGGGAGTGTTTCACCTTTAACTTGGTTGGCAACCAACACTATTGGCTTCATGTGACCACCACCATGTTGTTGACTATCCCACACACAACTCATGATGCTTTTATTTCATTAGCTTTACAATAATATCTTCATTATGAATCTCGATATGGACAATAATACTCCT